GGGGGGGGGGGGTGTTCTGTTGAGTGATGACGGACCAGCCGCGGTGGCTCTTCGAGCTGCGGCCGGAGTTTCAAGAGAGGCCTTCTTCGTGGAATGGGCGGAGAGGTTCGGAACCCTTTCGGTTCCGCTTAGGGGTGGCGGTGAGGCTGGAGACGGCGGTGACGGGGGGCGCGGCAGAAAAGACGACAGGTTAGTGAGGCGAAAGAAGGGGAGGAAGACGGGGAGGCGATAGGAAGCCATGTGTCCGGTGAAGTGTTTCAACTTTCGAGGTGACCCCGCGTCTTGGTACGCCGCCGTTAGAAACCGTTGGGTGGTCAAGGTGGTGGCCTGGCGTGTGAAAAGTGCAGTAGACGCGTGAAAAGAAAACAGAATTTGTTCGTGATTCTTAAGGCGTTTCCTTTTTATGCGTCGGTGAGCGAAGCGAGAATCGGTGAATCTTCTTGTGTTGTCAACCACTGAATCTTCTCGCGGCATAAGCTGCTTGATCTTCTGGCGGGAGCGTTTAGTTCTTGATCATCTCGTGGTAACAAACGCTGAATGTTCTCGCGGTAAAAAGGGTGGAGATGTGGAGATATTCACCTCAAGAGAGAGAGCCGTGTGGTCGTTCCTCAGCCAGGCAGGGCAGGCAGGCACGGCGAACGGCGGTATCACGGGGTACCCGGAATACAAAACATGTCGCACGTAACTAGCGGCGCCGCTCCCCACATCAAGATCAACACTAGCGGTTGGTGAAGCTTGTGGTGTCTGCGGTTTGACTCGATTTTCATTGCGAGTCTTCCTGCCTCCGAAGGAGGAGATTTTTCTCACCGTGTTTACACGTGCCTCCCCTTCCCCTCTTCCTGCTTACGATGAAGTCCACGTCGCGCACGCATTTCCGCGCCTGCGCTCCCGCGTGGGCGCACGTACACAAAGCTTGTGTAATGTAAAATTTCGGTTTTTGGTAGTATTTTTTTCCTCAACTAAACATGACGGCATTACTTTTTGTTGTTGTTGTTTCGTCTCGAGACCAGAGAGATTCAAGCTGCGAGGGATGTGGAGCGAGACTTGCTGATGGTGAACGGCGTGTTGGTGAAGGGATCGGAAGGGTATCCCGTGGTGGTGGGGAAGGTTACGCGAGAGCTCGCCCGTCTAGCCGAGCCCGTGACAGGGGCAGATACTGCTGTGTTGGGGGCGTCGACGGCTTCGGCAGGTTCTCCCTCGGGCGGCGCCAGCGGTGGCGGTGGTGCGGTGCAAACTCGTCAATCGATGCCAAAGGTCGGTGATCGGATTGCCTGCCTACTCGCGTCTTGGCTGGATAGAAGCGCACGAACTTGTTGCGGGGGGTTTTGCGTCGAAGGTCTTGGTTCATGATACGTCATTCGTATTGAAAATTTGGCGGCGTGCCTACGGTGCCGTGTTTGTTCTTGTTGTTTGCTGGTGTTCAATTCCTCAGACCCTTATCCCGGCCTGAGACACATTTTTCATTGCCCCGCCCTCAACTCCTTTCCTTCTCGTTTTCTGCTCCACCCCCCCCTTCCCTCTTTTTTTCAAAGGGAGAACGAGCACGCCTGCCCCTCCGACCACCCCGCCAGCTGCAAGACTTTTCCAAGCTTGTTCTCAAGGCCGCGAACAGGTGACGAATCCTAACGTGCGGCGCGGCCATGGTGTTGTTACCCAACGGTCGCGGGCTCGGCTACTTCTTTTATAACCTTTGGCGGTTGTCATGGTCTTCTTGACATGTGTAGGCCGCCCAATCCTCCCTCGTTTTTTCGCCACCGCCGGTGGGCATCTAACTGCACCAAGCGCGAACAATCACCGGGGGGGTGGCAACGTTGGTGTAAATTGATTGTAGTATTCTCCGGCTATGTCCAAGAATGACCTGGTTTCCCGCCGCGAAGCACCTCCGTGCGCGTTCTTTTTTTATTGCGCGCGCGTGTTTCGGCTGTTCAAGACCTGGCCCTAACGAGTGAGAGGCGTTTACATTGACTTTCCCAGTTTTGTACGTAGGGCGGGTAGCAAGTTCGCACAGACTGGTCGGGGTTTCGTTTTTAACCCTTCAGTCGAAGGCTCGGCGGCTATTGCAGGAATAGCGGCGTGCCGGCACTAGACCCCCCCCACCCGCTCGGTCCACCATACGGCCATATTCTTGTGGGCGGTTTGTATCCGCTTGGCAGATAAAGTTTTCGACGACCGCAGGAGGCATTTCTGCCAAAGGGCAGACCGGCCCGCCGTCGAGGCTTCCGCGTCCACGTTGCCGCCACCCTACTCGAACGTGATTTATATGGGCGGAGGTTCCCCCGCGTATCTCTCCCCGCCCCCGCCCCCCCGCTGCTGCGTCCTGTGGCGCACGCCTGGTAACTCGTCTAGTAGCTAAGGCATACAAACCATAGGAGTGCCCCGCCCCTCCCCGCCATCCGCTGCACGCGAGCACACACCCACACGTTTTGTCCCATCGCTGCTGCCGCTGCTTTCATGTTTTCGCGGTGTATTGGTGCAGGACGGAGTCTGGAGGGCTGTCGTTCGATGCGATCCACCGAATCATGGAACTCTGTCCCGGCGTTAGCGATGGGTCTGTGCTTGTAGTGCCGGATTCGTCCAAAGGTAGATTTTTTCGGGGGCGCCGGGGGGTACTCATGACAACGCTTGCCGTAGAGGCATTGACCTCGCATTCCGACAATGCCGGGGCGGAGCGATATGCGTTTTTTTTGCCGGCCGAAGCCACGTTTCGCAAGGATGAACCAGCGGAGGACGGGGGTTAGTGCAGTTCGGAGGATGGGCACCTTTGCTTCTATGGTGCCACCGCTGCAGGTAGACAGGCATCTAAATAGCCGCTGTTTCGGCTCCCTCCGGCCCTCTGTTCCCTTAGAAAGAGTGCATAGGTAGACTGCGGTTTCTCGCTGTGCCTCCCCGTCTAATGCATTGCTTACCCTGCGAAGTCTGGAGATAGCAT